CAGGCTTCGGGGGCCGCACCTGCGCCGACTGCCAGGAGGAGCACTGGGGCGAGCCAGAGCGGGAGTGCATGGGTGAGTGTGAGCGGGGGCCGGGGGTCCGTGGGCAGAGACCTGGAGTGCAAATCTGGGGCAGGGGGAAAGTCTGGATTGGAATGTGGAGGAGCTGGAGGGGAGTGGGGGGGCAAGCCAGGAGGTGGGCACAGAGGATGGGAGGAGAGCTGGGATGGGGGACGGGGGCTAGACCAAGAAGGGGCAGGGGGAAAGCCTGGAGGGGAGATGGGGGCGAGCCTGGGGGGGGGGGGGGGGGAGCCGGGGGGGGGGGGGGGGGGGGGCCCGGGGGGGGAGGGGGGGGGGGGGGGGGGGGGGGGGGGGTGAGCCGGGGGGGGGTCCCCACGCTGGGCAGGCTGCTTTGCTCGGCCCTTGCTGAGCCCCCTGCCCCCCAGAGAAAGGCGTGGGGCTTTGGGCGTTTGTGGAGCCTCACTGCATTGTAGGAGCTGAGTGGGGGGCACGGCTGGCGAGCGGGCCCCTGCCATGGGAGCGGCTGGGGAGGGGTCAGCAGTCAAAGCACACCCCCCATTTCAGAGCGAGGCCCGGCAGCTGGCGTGCCAGGCTGTGTGCAGACTCAGGCAGGCGTCCCGGCGGGCGGCTGGGCTGTGACGCGCCCCCTTTGCTCCGGCAGCCTGTGACTGCGACCCGGCCGGGGCGGAGAGCCTGCAGTGTGAGCGTCTCAGCGGGCACTGTGCCTGCCGGCCCGGCTTCACAGGGCAGCGCTGCGACCGCTGCCTCCGCGGCTTCCACAACAACTTCCCCCGCTGCGACCGCTGCCCGCCCTGCTTCGCCCAGTGGGACCTGGCCCTGGCCCGGCTGCACGGCCGGCTGCGCCAGCTGCAGGAGCAGGCGCGGGCGCTGCAGGAGGGAGGCCCCGGTCCCGAGCTCAGCGACAGCCGCCTGCAGGACCTGGAGAGCAAGCTGAGGCGCACGGAGCGGCTGGTCGGGGACGGCAGCAGCCAGGGGGCCCCCCTCCTGCGCCAGCTGGGCCGCCGGCTGGACGACACCAGGCAA